TGCAGAAACATAAAAAGTAATAAATCATATTAAATTGGTTGATGAATAATCATATTTACATTGTTATTTTAATTAACCGACTTTCATAAAGAAGGAGGTTCTATGTTCGTCCTCATACATATGTTTTTTCATTATTATATTAAAGATTGATAGGAATCAATTGTGGCACCGCTCTCAAAGATGTTATACTATTACATCCATATTCATATTTCAATACTAATATTATAAATGTGAAAGTGTGTTTGTTTGTTTGTCCTTCTTTCACGTATAAACAGAGTGAAGAATTGGCGAGATTTTTTGTGTGGATATACTTTTTACCTCGAGAGGTCATCTTATTCCCACATGAAAACACGTTATAATACAACCCAAAACAATATTTTTGATTAGAATTATTTGAAACTTAGTATCAATTCTTTTCAATACAATTAAATAAATAGGTGTTTCAGCATTTTTTGAAATACATCCCATAAGGGGTTCAGATAGGGGATGAAAGTTTGTATGAAACCTACCTTTTTATATATTTTTTGTAGTTTTAGTGTGAGAAAAGCCTCGGGTTCGGCTAGTAATATATAAAAGCTTAACAAAGAGTGTCACAGAGTTTTCAATATACCTCATTTTTTCATTTTTGAAATGTACAAATTTATTTCGTATCCCTTCAATTTATTCAAATTAATTGCTTCACTTTATTTGGAGAGTTCATAAAGATAACAAATTAATAAGAAATATATGGAGCCTGCAACTGTGTTTACTATCTTTTCGGATTTTTTCGCATTTTTTTTTTATTTTTGGTAGTTAACCAATCGTTTCGAATGCTTTACAGCAATCATGGTCACGAAAAGATAGTTTTATTTAAAATGTCAAATATACTAGTAAATCTAAGAAATGTCTACTATCTTAAGAAGAAAATAGTGCAGTTAAACTTAATTTATCTACTACTAATTCCCTTAAAGTCTTAACTTTAAACTCAGGCTTACCTGAAGGAAATAAAAGCTTAAATGTCAGTTAAGAGAAAAATAAATGTCGAGATAAATGAATGAGAAATCTTGAAGACGTACTCCATTCACGCCTATATACATATTTTACAGCTGTCTTCAATTATTTTAATAAGATTAGAACGTTTCATTTTATCTGTTTACTGTGTGATATTGTGTTTTAAAATAGAACTCTAATTCATTTAGAGCAATATCTTTAGAGCAATGAAAACGTAATATCAATCATAAATATTTTCTGTGATTTTAATTACGATAAAATATATTGTCTAATTCAAACCTGCTTTAAGCAAGAATGTAAATAGAATAGCATTACTCTTTAATTAGACGTATATAAGACATATGTATGTACTAATTGATCTTCTCTCCGCGACAACGTAAGCATTTCCCCTTTGTTAGGTTTGTTCATGGCCTAAGAGCCTGTGAACGCCAGACCTTCGTCATTTTATAAAAGCTGAAAGTTTGTCAGCGCATGCTCCCAACACAGATAAGAACGATGGACCATTATGAAGTTCATGCTATGGTGGCTTTGGCAGGTACACGGTACTAAAGGTGTGTAAAATACCGATCTAAATCCGTCAAATAATAAAGTGTAATTTTTTGGTATTCAGAATATTATTAAAAATCACGTCATTCAATGCCAGACACTTAACATCGTGGCAAACCCTTGCCAGACACTCTTTTCATGAAATCGTAATTCTACTTACGTTATAGTATAAAAGCTGATTTTTATATATAATACTTGGGTAATAATTAGATGATTTATAAGACTGCTAGCATAGTATTTATTACACACCATCAAAAATAAAGTCAATTCTTAGCGCTTCAAATTTGGTGACCATTTGCAACATTTTCTTAGAAATGCCTCCCAACTTGTTTGGAACATTTTTCATGGTCTGGGGTTCACGGGCTCTTCCTCTATCAAGGTTTGTTTTGATCATATTGAATTACATTAACAACCTGTGTAATTAATAACGCAATGAAGTTGAAGCTGTAATCGTTCTTATGAAAAATCTTATACTTAAAATGATTAATCATTGTTTATATATTTTTAGTATTTGAGTAATAAAATTAAGTTTTCGCAACACCTCTAAATATTTATTTCTTTGTTTTATTACGGTTTCATAGCCTAAACTAAAAACAGAACCCTTATAATTCCATCATGTTCATCTGTACAGATATCACAGCCATTCAAAGAATGCTGGGACTAAAAAGGTTTAAATGTAGATGTAGACTAAATACTTTCTCGTACACGTGGAAAAGAGGTGGAAATATTTTTATAGAAAATAATATTGTTTTAGACAATTTAAACTAAAATTTGTTATTATATAGCTTGTTTTCTTTGGATGTGCCAAATTGAGAAAGATGACTTACTGTTCTTACATATGTATCACCAGAAAGATTAACTTTTCTCTCTTACAATTAAAAGCCCAGCTACGAGTATCTGCTATCGCGTTAAACTCAATTAAGTTGTTCTTCGTCTATCCTCTATCTGTCTATTTCAATAAAGCAATATTCGAAGTAACTGGAAATCACTATTGCACTATATTAGTATTCATATTATAATATTAAATAGCTAAATATATAAAAATTGCAGCTTTAAAAACGTCTCTAACAAGACTTACTATTGTAAATCCACAGTGTAAAAGTTGTACGATATGTGAAGTTTGTCGTCACATTCATTAATAATAAATTCTTATGTAGAAGTTTTGTACCTACTTTTAGCATTTTGACTTAGAAAGTGTATTGTGTATTCCATAATGATGTTATTAACCAATACATATAGTGGTGATTCTTGTCTCAAGAAATTTATATTTTGTATATTACATAAAAAAACGTTTATCCTTAGTGAGCCATAAACGAATCTGTTGGACTAAATTTTTACAGCCTATTCATATAATAACACCTATAGTAACATAGGAGCACGTAATAGCAGCTATTTAGAGCTTTTAAATTTAATCCCTTTAAAGGACGAAAAACGAGTGAAGGCTGAAAGCCGAAATTATATATATTTTATTTAAAAAGCCGAAGTTGGGTCCTATCACTATTTGTAAATTATTAGCTGTGCCTGCAAGTTTAAGTAGAACACGAATAGCAAATTATAAAGATGGAGAAAAGTTTAATAGCATTTTAATATATATTATGTATATCTACGTGTTAAAAAGCAGTTTTGATAAAACTTTTACCTTCCTACTTCGCACTCCGGGTTTTATAAAGAGCAATTTAAGCTATATTATAATTCTATCGCAATAATCTATGTATATATATAAAAAAATCAATCATATCATTTGTAGTTGTCAGGAAAAGGTGTGTAGGTAAGAAAATGTTTGAAAAATTGTACGTGAGAGTGAAAAATTTAGATTAAAAAACCTCCAACTATGATTTTCCAACTCCAATTTGGTTATATGACAGAAGACAGGGTTAACTTCAAAAATATTGACAGAATTGACAGATTGACATTCAGTTGTTCAGCTTATTTTATTATTTTATCTGATACATTCGAAATCAACAATTTGTTGTTTTGGTTATTTTGTGAAAAAGGTAGTATTTTAAAAAAAATTACCAGCGGCATCTATTAAATGCAGTCCAAGTATTAAATGATAATCTGTTATATCATGAGAACAATATTTAAAAAAGAAATTGACAGTCTTGGTCAAAATATAAGATTTTTATTGATAATATTGTTTTATGTGAATATGAAAGTAAAGTGAAAGAAGAAAAGCTTAATTGCTTTAAAAATTTGAATGGTACACGTAAAAGGATAGAAAAGAAGGAAGTATGTTTATTTTTAGTAATATCTTATTTAGATATGGAAAAAATATGAAAATTTTGTAGTTTACGGTCCCCATAACTTTTGAATCCTTCGTTTCATCAAAATATTTTTTTTATATATTTAAACTCCCTATCACATCCCATATCCCAAGTTTCCCTCACACAAACTCCTTCTAAAGATTGGCACACCTGTAAATTGTAATGAATAAGCCACATAAGCTATGTAACGGAACCATGCTCGAGAGGAATCGGTATTCATACCTCAAGTACCACTCTCTACTCTCTGAATACCCCTTTGAATTTAATCGATTGCAATTCCCCCTTAGAATTCGCTGTGCAATGACTATTGATAAATTTCAGGGTCAGTCATTAAAAGTAGCAGGCTTAAGAGAGGATTGCTTTTCACATGGACATTCTAGCACCAGACTAGAAAAATGAACTAATTTTTAAAAATAATTTTGTATATATTGCGAAAACGTTTTTAGAATTTTTGTCTGTCTGTCTGTTTGTGTATCTGGGAACGCATCACGAATAAACCACTGGACGGATTTTGATGAAATTTGGTATGGATATCCAGGACAATAATAACATATAAGATACTTTTTACAACGGGAAAATATCTCATGTCTGAGAACAAGTACAAAAACTGATTAGAATAAAATCATGCTGTAACTATAAACATTTTAACAAGGTAACTTACAAAATAGGTCATAAAATAATTATAAAGCTTTCTTGAAAAAACATATATCAATAGAAAACTATCTAAAATAACTCGCTATATAGTATTTAATTAGGTGTAATTTAGAAATTTCACTAGATGTCGCCATGTGTTTTTAAAATACGTAATTTTTAATTTTAGAAAAAAATTATGTAAAGATATGATTTTTTCTATAACTTTATTAGAATTACTAGTATTCTCCGCTGTCCCGCCGGAGTCCAAAAAATCATTAAACCTTAAACCTTTTATTATCTTAGCTTGTTAGCTTGTTTTAATCTTCAGTATCTTGTCTAGAAAATGCCACGAACAAGAACACTATAAGGTACTTCCTTATAAATTTTAATCAGGCTTGTAAACTTTCCTGCATATTCACTTAATATTATTTTCATATAGATTAATCTAAATACTGAATCTACAAGCTTCTCTAAACATAGTCATATCATGTTAGAAGCATCTCAGAGCCATTTCGTATTTAGCAGAGTATGTACAACGTAAAAGCCTTAAAGCTAGATCTTACTTACTTGGTCTAGCAAATTATTAGGTGGGCGGGGTATGCGAGGGGAGTCGTCGTATCCGATGTCGTGAGGCATGAGGTAGCGAGGCAAGGCATACGCGGAGAGGAACTCGGACTGAGGCGGCATGGGAACGCGCTGGCGTTGCGGCCCCAGAGGTGCCACCTGAGGCGTGTCCGTAGGTACTGTAAACACAACCATAGCGTAAACATAAACAATGCAACAAGTTACTTGGCTTGTTAACGTCAATCAATATTAAAGCAACCATGGTCGCCAGCAGAATTATTATCAGGGCGTGCAGATTTTTTAAAATAACAATAGATATAATTCATATAAGACCGGATGGATAAACATAGAAAAGATCGAATTGACTTAAATTAAAAATCTTTATAGCCTGGTAGATAAGAATTGTTGTGTTAGGTTCACCGACTCTTCTCTCCAAGCCATGTACCCCATATATTTCCATTTACATGTAGTGATTCGTTTAATAGAACCTTCGTGCGTCGCCATACCCCGGTTCTCAGAATGCGATTCAAGAGAGGATGAATAATTAAAAAAATAAATAGCATTTCTTTTAAACGTTTTGTTTTTTTTATACCTATTAGTGATAGGGTGTTCCGAGATAATATTGATTCTTTTGGGAATGTAGTATTAAGAAGTGTTTATAAAGGTAGAAGGTATCACATGTATATTTTACTCTTCTAGCTCTTTGAAGTTCATCCCCTAGCGACCCCCTCCCCGCGCCTATGTTTAGAGCTGATGTATAATGTATAAACGTGTATAAACTGCATAACAAGTGAAAATTTAAAATATTATATTCTTTGTATAAAATTTACTTTTTAGATTAGGCATATTTAAATTTTAAATATTTTGATGATGTTAAATATATTTTTTATGCAAATTTTTAAGCGATTGGTTAGTCGCTTGCCTGGCCTTGAGAGTGGCCTTATCAAAATAAAATAATCAAGTGAAAAAGTAATTCTAGTAACTTTTTTACGGTAATATACTTAAATAGTAATGCCTTCAGAAAAAAAACAAGTGTAATCGTTTGTAGATTAATCCAAGTCAAAAATTCAAATTTAAATTCTCTTTAAATTCAAATATAAAATATGTTTCCGGTGCCCAGATCTAAGCATTTTTACCACTTTGCGCTTCCATAAAATTTCAGGATAAACCATTTACAGCCGACAAATTAGTTCTTCCGGGCCCTAGGATAAAACTGATTTATTTTACCAGTGAAACGGCTAAAAAGTAAGCTGTCAGCATTTTCTAGTTTCATAGCCTCTGAGTTATTGATACAATTTGTAATGAATTAAAATTTATCCTGAGATAAAATTTTATTTTCTATAAGCAATATTAAATCACTATAACTTTAATTTTCTTGAATTAGATTTATTCTATACATATATAATTAAGTCCCTAATATTCGAGATTAGTTAAACAGGTTCCAATGAAGCTTTTTGCGCATGTAAGTACCTATTTGTAATAGAATGAAAAATGCTGCTAGGTTTTATTCGAGTCGAGTTTACAATCTGACTTATCAAACTTACAGCTTATTCGGGTCGAAATCACATTCGAAGAAATTTAATATATAGGTCGAACTCGCTATTCTAAGCATGGGGCGGGGGAAAGTGGTCGGGTCAGATTAATGTTTATTGATTGTGGTCCATATTATGTCAATACACGTGGGCGAAGTCGCAAGCAGAAGCTTGTTAATAATATTAAACAATCTTATAATTTTACGTGGAAATTGAAATACATAGGTACAAATACGAAAATACCACTGCAATTCAGTTTTGGTTTAGGTATTGGAAAACACGCATCACTAGTGTTTTTATTATATGATCATAAGGAACTATCAGACTGCGATCCCGAATCTCAAGAAACTATTTTATTTTAACATGTTTCATTCAACATTTTAAAAGTCACAACAAGTGGGCGCAAGCTGAAATAAAGATACATTCGATATATTGTTTCTAGTTACTGTCATTTTCAATATCTTATTTCAAGTTCAGAAATTTTGAAATAATTTTCTAACCGACAGTGATGACTTGATACCAAGTCTTTCTATAATATATTACATTAAGAAATGAAGTACATATTTTAAAAGGCTTTATCACGTAAGTTAGTTAACTTTGCAAGTTTTTTTTACTAGGTTTGTCCTTTGCATAACACATATGAAACACGAAAACAGTGTAGATTTTAAAATACAATAAAAATGTCAACATCAAAACTCAATACAGGTTTGTTTAAAGAGCGTTAAAAAAACCACAGAACAAAGTACTAGCCAAGAAATAAATTTAAACCATAAAAGCAGGTATCGAATTATATCTAAGAAACTGTAGTTCGATTCCACAAAAAAATATTAGGTGATAGGTGTACCTATGTTATTACACTGTGTAATGTTCACATATAAAATGTAGGGTAATTGAAATTTTTCATCGAAATTGATATAACAAAGCTTTGGCTTGATAAGTTTGATGTATCTATAATAAATATTAATATTACATTTGTTACATATTTTACTACGATTACATTGGACTTCATTATGATGACAATGAATATTAAAATGCCACTGAAAATGTTTAGGTATAATTTTATAAAAGGGTCTGTATTTTCTTACAATGTTAGTTTACACGTTTTCTAGTTTACTTTAAAAAAATATTTACATGTCATGAAAGCTGTTACTTATAACTTTACCGAAAAACAATATAGATATAAGCCGATATTTTGATTGATATTTGATTTGATTTAAAAAGTTTGAATTTCATTCACTAATTATGGGTTCGTATAAATAGGTAAACGATATCTAAAACGCCAGTTAAGTGCTAACCTAATAACTAATAAGGTATTATTAGAACTGTTCAACACAGATTTTTCCAATGTTTGTTATTGTAGCATAAATTCGTAGATTTTCTTTTAGTGGCAATGCAACAGTGATAAATAATTATAGTTGGTGGTTATAATCCATACATATAATAAAATTGTAACTAAGTCGAATCTGTAGATTAAATATTTTTTTGGAAAATCTTATTGAAATAAACATTATTTTCAATAAAGAGGCCGAATCTATAGTTTTTAGAATTTTTGTCTGTCTGTCTGTCTGTCTGCCTGTCTGTCTGTCTGTCTGTCTGTAGAAAATCCACTGGAGGGATTTTGATGAAATTTGATATGATGTTAGCTGGTCAACATATAGGATACTTTTTACCGCGGGAAAATATTTCATATTTGAGAAAAAACACAAAAACTGCAATGTAAGAGTATACTAATATGTAAAACCTAATAATTTGGTTTTTGGTCATCTGAAAGCGGGCAGAGCCGCGGGCAATGCTAGTTATAACATAATAATCGGAATAATATTCAGTTTAATCTTTCCATACTAACCTATACTCACATAATAAAATCATAAATACAAAGTTATTACCTACATAGTTATTGTATAAATAACGAAACCTAACTCGATCACTAAATATTTATTATTTTCGTACTTATGTTTAGCAGCATATAACATTACGAAGGAAGTACGTATGCATTGGAGCGACGTCCATTACTGTGCTGGGCGTAAAACTAAGTGGTTTTTAATTTGTTATTAAGAAAAACGACTTTTCTTACATATCAAATATTAATATTTAACGATATCCAAATTTTAGTAAGTTAGTTAATTTAGGCGTAGCTTTTACACGAACTTATTTTTGCAAATAATAAAGTACTCGTAAGCGTAACGAAAAAGTAAATTTTTCCGTAATTTGTTCGCGAGGGAAGCCACGGGTTCTGCTTGTTAAAATATAAATTAGCCCGTAACGAAATAGAGTTAGGCAGTAAACGATTATTCATGTTCGTATTACGTAGTTTTGTAAACTGTTTTCGTATCCAATACATTTTCGTATTTTAAGCTTACTTACGTTTATTGAATAATCTATACATACTCTACATTAAGGCAGTGGTAGCCCAGTGGTAACGCGCTCGCTTGGGCAACCGAGTAAAGCGAGTTCAAATCTCGGGTCTCGCACCTCTGATGTTTTCATGTGCGAATCATTTTCAAAATTACCACTGTGTTAACGGTGAAGGAAAACATCGTGAGGAAACCTGCATGTCCTGAGAGAACCTAGCAAGTTTTCAAAAGACATGTGAAGTCCGCCAACCCGAACTTGGTCAGCGTGGTGGACTATGGCCTGATTCCTCTCGTACTCTAGGGAGGCCCACCCACCAGCAGTGGGACATTAAAAATGGCTGAATACATTCTATATTATAGGTATATAAAAGACTTTGTCCTGACTGACTGGCTTATGGATCAACGCACAGCCTAAGCCTCTGGAAACGTGAAAATTGGAGGACGTACTCCTTATACGACGTAGACAATCGATAAGAAAGGATTTTTCGAAATTTCATCCTCTAAGCGGTTAAAATGGTACGGAATGTATGGAGTCAAAATCATATTTATTCACAATCATACACATTTGAAAATAATTTACAGCCATCAAATTATATATTACTGATAGCATAAAGCCAAAGAATTTGTTTTTTTGTAGTTTTACCGCGACCGAAGCTGCCGGGTTCTTCTAGTTTACTATACATTGATTCCATTTGGAACGATTTTTTTATCATGAAAAACATGATGAATACGATTATGTATACAATTATCACCTATAGATAATAGTAAATAATAACAATTATCCATACTAATATATTATATTAATATTATTAGTACGAATATTTATTTATAATTAGTTAGACATTTCGAAAGTTTGTTTGAATGCAACAAGGCAAATTAATTCATTTTAATGTCACAACTTGATCTGAAGCTTACGAACAGCCACATTACAGCTACCTAGATACGACCGCAAAAGTTGCTTCGGCGATCTGCTACGAACTTCCGACTCTCTGGTCTAACTTCATAGCCAAGTATGTCAGTTAAGGGTGAACTAGAATGGCAGGGATACTTTGTATTAGAAAAATTTACTATAGTAAATTACACAGTTTTATTTCGGCTGTTTAATTTAAAGATAGATCCTATATTATTTAAGTAAGCAAAAAAATACCATTATAGAGAAGAAAAGCTCTGTATTGATTTTGACGCTTGCAATTTTGATTTTATTTAATATTCAAATAAATTACAAAATTATTGGATTTTTTACTTATAAAATATGCAAGCGTAATATAATTGGAGAATAATCACATTATACAA